GGAATTTTTTTTTTTTTTTTTTTTTTGTGGATTTTAGGGTTTATGGTCTTCTATTGTGGTTGGATATTTAATTGAATTGTTATAATTTAGGGTATTTTGACTGTGGATTTAGCTTCCGATCTTGCCATGATATATCTAAGCTTTAGGATTCAGTAGTAGATTATTCGCCCGTGGATCATTTGCTCAGTTTTTCCCTTTTTGACTTGAGATCTAACAATTTGGGATGAGAAATTCTGGTCTTATGTATCTTGGGTAATCTTGATGGACTGGTCAACATTCAAGAACGGGTTGATTTTGTGTAGTAGTTCTTGGGATGAACGATTCTGTGTCCATTGGCTGTGTCATGGACCTGTGCTCATGTAATTAGCATTGAAGTTGAGTTTGGGTTCTTGTTGATTCTTTTATGCTGTTCTTGGCCAAAATGATGGGACATGGTAACTATTTTGTGGAGTGGAAGGAGCAATTTGTTTCGCAAGAACGGGGAAACCGCGTGGTTCATTATTTTTTGAAGGATTCTGCTGGAGAGTCTGTTCTTGCAGTTGTGGGGACTGAGAGAAGTGTCAGACACATGTTTTATGTTGTTGCAGACGAGTTTTTGCAAGCTCATGGGAAGGAAAACTCTGTCCATTCTGGTTTCAAATGGAGATCGAGGCGAGAGGTCGTGGATTGGCTTACTTCTATGTTATCAAAGCAGCATTCTCCTGGGGATCATTCTGGTTTGTCGTGCTTTTTTCGTTCTTATCTTTTATTTCTTTTGGACATTTGGATTCGTTGTGAATTCTTGTTCGAATTTGCAAAAGTATACACTTTTCGTTCTCTGTCTGCTTTTGTGAGTATTTGCATATTCTCTTTTGTAGAAAATTATTTAGTTGCCGAACACATTTCATGTGATTCACATGATTCACATGATCCATTGTCATTAACGACACTTGCTCAATCGAGAAAGTAGTATACTCGCCTCAAAGTCAACCATACATGGACGTTCAATGTAACGGCCCAAGCCCTTGTCCTCTTTGGACTTTCCCTCAAGGTTTTTAAAATGCGTCTCCTATGTAGAGGTTTCCACACCCTTATAAAGAGTGTTTCGTTCTCCTTTCCAACTGATGTGGGATCTCAAAATTCACCAATCTTGTTCTAGCGTCCTTGCTGACACACTGCCTCATGTTTACTGCCTCATGTTTACCCCCTCGCTGGCACATTGCCCAGTGTCTAGCTCTGATACCATTTATAACGGTCCAGGCCCACCACTAGCAGATATTGTCCTCTCTGGGCTTTCCCTTTCGGGCTTCCACTCAAGGTTTTAAAACGCGTCTAATAGGGAAAGGTTTCTACAATCTTATAAAGGGTGTTTCATTCTCCTCCCCAACTGATGTGGGATCTCACATTCAATGAGCCACATACCATCGTTTTCTTTTCCTTGCCATGCTTAGGTTGAATATGGCGACAAGGCTTCGACATTCTATGGCTATTTACACGTTACAAATTCATATTATTTATGAATTTTAGTTCTTTAGTCAAATGTGTTTCACTTCAATGAGGCGACACTTCTTGGTTGCTTTGAGGCAATCAAGATACTTGTCGCCTTTGAAAACATTTTATAATCCGTGGTTTTACGGTATTAAACTGTTGGTATTGGCATGTTGACAAAGTTTTCTATGCAGTGCCTTGTAAATGTGATGCAATACAAACACTGGGAACTCTTCAATTTTCACATAGTGGACTAGTTCTTCAACAATCCGATGTACCAGATGATAAAGTAAATGGCTTTCCTTTCATTGATTATTTTCAAACAATTTTGGGAAATTATCCCTCAGTTTGGTTTTGATTTTGACCTAGGTTCGGTCATCAAGGAATTCCAAGGGACTTGCATCAGATATTGTATGGTCTGGTGCTGCGTGGACCTGCGGTAAACGGCTCAAGCATTACCCGTCATTTTGCAGGAATGGGACTTCAATCGTGGTAAGCATGAAAGGATAAGGTGTTGCCATGGTTGATTAATGAGGTTTAAATATTAGTAACCAAGTTTAAATCTATGATGTTCCAAGTTTAAATCTCTGTACATCATTTAGATTCCAGTTTTATGCTTCAACATATCAGGACTCTTGCCTATTCATTGCAGCTAGAAATTTTCACTTCATCCAAGTTTAAATCTATGATGTTCTATCATGAAACTAATGTGAGTTAAATAAGAGAGAGCTTTCAATATTTTCTTGCTGTAAACGTCGGTATTTGCATCATCTATAAATAATATATGTTGGTATTTGCATCATCTGAGACGGTGCATACTGCATGTATGCACCGACATCTTCCTATTTTGACATTCCTCCTACTTATCAATGCTATTTAGGTACATTCTTTTGTTTATGTCATGGCTAAGGGAGAAAACCACTATCTTGCTTACCTGGAGGACATGTACGAAGATAAGAGGGGTCAGAAAAAGGTGAAAGTGAGGTGGTTTCATCATAGTCAGGAGGTGAAAGGTGTGATTGCATTACGAAATTCTCACCCGAGAGAAGTTTTTATCACACCATATGTGCAGACCATTAGTGTTGAGTGTGTTGATGGTCCTGCAACAGTCTTAAATCGTGAACATTACGAAAAGTGTGTGAATGCATTTCCCCATGATTCACTTTCGAAAGTTCATCTTTGCTATAGGCAGTTCAAAAGCAACCGACTAAAACCCTTTGACCTGAGTAAGCTGCGTGGATATTACGATCAGCCAGCCTTCTCTTGTTTGAGTCTCAATGTATTATCAAAATCTGAGCCCATTTTTGATAGTTTGACTGTGGAAGACGATGAAGATTTGGACCCAGAAAATAGTGTTAGACCGAAGGTTAAAAGGATGAGGAATGCTACAGGATGTAGAACATTTGAGTTAGAAAATGCAAAAGTTAGAAAGTCCGGTAGTCGTCGACATATGTTGACTCATAAATCTTGCAAGAAGCATAATTACAGCTTTTTAGGCAGCAGGTTTCTTTCTCATAAGCATGTTTTGGAGGATAATGACCCAGCATATGATGTCAATGAGAAGATAGAATTATTGTGTCAAGATAGTGGCATTCGAGGCTGCTGGTTCAGATGTACGGTCTTGTATGCATCGCCAAAACATATTAGAGTACAATATGATGATCTGCAAGATGAGGATGGCTATGGCAACCTTGAGGTAACGTTGAAGAGTTTCAATCGAACGGCTATGGCGTCAATGGTTTAGTCTAAACTATCTAGGTTGTGTAGTGTAGGTACAATTTTCTGTTTTCGGTTGACTTGTGTCGGATTGCAGTCAGGCTCTCCAAGTGCATTTTACTTGTAACCTTACTGCTCTATGTCTTTCTTGACAAGCGATTTCCACTGAAAGTGATAACCGACAAGTTTTTCTGCTTATAGGAATGGGTCCCTGCTTGTAAAGTTGCTCTACCTGATAAACTTGGCATGAGGCACCCTGGCCGCCTGATTACTAGACCAGTCCCTCAAGAGCAAATAGAGCTCACTCTCGATATTGGTGTTGCTGTCGATGCGTGGTGGAGTGATGGCTGGTGGGAAGGAGTAGTTACTGGCCTAGATTCAGGCAATGATGCTGTGCATGTCTACTTTCCAGGTATTCTTATAGAAAACATTAAGGCAATTGTTTCCTTAATATTGATTTTAAGCTAAATCTCCTGTTATTTAGTCGCGGTTCTTTGCAATGCAATCTTTTTTTTGCTTTTAATAGGTGAAAGCTTATTCTTGAATGTACATAGAACCAATCTTCGAGTATCAAGAGATTGGTTCGGGGGCTGCTGGATTGATGTTGAGGCAAAACCTTCTATACTTACATTGATATCTGACCGTAATAGAACAGACGACGAACGTTCCAAGTCTGTCGCCCATGTCAAATCCAGCAGTTTAGCTATGTCATGCATTGACACTAATGCTGGCACTAACTTTAGTGACACTAAAGAGGAAACGCTCGTGGAAACTGCATTAGCTAGTCTTGAAAAGCTTTGTGAAGTAAAGGATGGGCCGAAGCAGCCACTGTCGTCATCAGAAGATGACCAGAGTGAGGAGGAGGATGTGGTTGACACGAAAAACAGTAGGCGTAATTTGAAGGACGATAATGGAGGAGGTGATAATAGTAGTAGTGATAGTGAGAATGAAAATGATGAGAATAGCAATGGAGCTAAATCAGAAATGGATTCCATGGATATGGAAGCTGTAGATATTCAGAAAATGACAGGTGAGTTTACTTATAATAATAATCAGTAGCAGTGTTGGTTTTCATCAAGAATGTGCACTTTTGTGTTTATTCTAAGTAAGTTGTTGTATATAAGCTAAGCTAAGCTAACTTCTTTAGATCAATCCCTTAATGTGTACAGAATTGAGTGTCAAGTTCATATTGTTTAGGTTTAGTTGAAAGGTCTCAATGATGTATCAATACCTTCTTTCATGGATTAATTATTACTGTCTTGGATTTCAAGGACATATAATGTTGTAATGTACATTAAAACAGATGATTCTAAGAGTTCTTGTTTTCTCCTCTTCCTTGGCTCTGCAATGGTGTCGGTGTCGGTGTCGGTAGCCGTGACATAGCTTTTTCACAAAGTGAAAGAGCTCATCACAGCTTTTATTGTTTGGAAGGGATATCTCAAAGGATTGTTGTTGACCTTTGTGAGCAATATTGAGAGATGGTTGCAGGGTGGGTGATATGATAGGCTCAACATGTATCATCCCAATCACACTGATCTTTGTGAGAGTTGTATCTTTAATATGTAATTCTTGAATAGTTTATCATTTTTGTTTACTCTCGGAGTCCTCTGTTATTTCCATGAATTAAGCTTTAAAAATCTAAAACGAAACCACGTAAACTAAGCTTATGGATCACTAGAATTGGTGTAGTCGTTTAATATATTATATTCCATAGCGTCGTTTCAAATCATAGATCAAGTATCACAACTTCTACCCATCCTGTATATAATCCGTATAAATCCTTTTTGTTGTCCTGGAATACAAATTTTTTTAGTAAAGAGATTCTTTTGCAACAGTACTTTTAAGAAAATATTTTCAACTATGAAGCGGATGACAAAAAAAACCTCCTTAGATTCACACATAAAATTCATCAGGCTCTTCTAAGGCAGTACCATATCCTGATTACATGACTTGATCCAAGGAATGACAAGAGCACCAAAATGAACTGCATCAGTTACTCAATTGGATATTCTCTCAGTAGGAAAATAACAGAAGCATTCCAAATTTCAAAAGGCTAGATGCAACTTAATTTTCGTAGCAATCAGTCTAACTTATCATGAAGTTTAGAAGTCTCACCAGGATATGAAGCCCCTCTCAAGTGCCAAGATTCGGTCCTCGAGTCGACGCTGGCTGACCATGAGAATATCTCCATTGACCACAAGCTAAGCATTTCTCCAACTTCACACTGTTTTCTAAAGTGCAGAATTTACATGACCAGAATCTGTACTTGGTATCAGCATCTTTCGACTTTTGTGACAAACAAAGCTCACATATTGGAGCTAGTGGCTGCATGACAATCAACATTGGCATGGGAAAGAAAAAAACAGTGAGATACTTGGCAGGATGATAAATAATAAACTTGCCCCCAGTGATGAACTTCAAGGTAAATATGAAATTGATTTACATGTTTATATGAAGCAATACTAAATTCGATAAAAGGACCAATCTAAGGTTCATATAGCATTCAAATATATGAAAAGTTCACAATACTTACTGGATTCAGTAAGGTGCAATTCCCGCACTCCCACATGGAATGTTCTTCAGGATGAAGTGTTCCATCGTGAATTGGCATCGAATTAGAGGATGAACAGGAGAAATCTATTGCGCTAGTTTCTGCACAAGGTTGGGGAAATATAACTCTATCTGACATTTTGTATCGCTTATTTGGTTCCTCATCATAGACGGCAGAGGACCCAGGGATTAAAACGTCTTCAGATAAATCAACAAAATGAGGTTTCAAATGACCACGGGAAGACTTATTGGAACTCTTTTCTGATTCACGATTTCTTTTCTGGTGTAATGTATCCACACGATTACTTAAATTGCTAGAGGGCCCTGATTTACCTGCGTGAGAGGAATGAACCGTGTCTGATGGAAAATCAGAGCAACATTCCTCATCTACAGGCATTTCTTGAGATGAAGCACACCAAATATCATCCTGAAGCCTCCTTTCTGCAGCCATTGCAGCTGCTTGTACAGGACTTAGAGCAACCATGATGTTGCTATCACCACCAAGCCGATTAGGACCAGAAGGAAGTAGAGATCCCAAACGTTTTCTTCCTTCTGCAGCGGCTAAGGCAGATTTGCGGAGGGAAGAGAGAGGGGGTTGTTGAGATTTACCACCCAAACGCCTCCCCGGTAGTTCAAATCCCTGTGCTGAGCCACTAATTCCCTTAGCCATCAACTCCTCACATTCCTACATATTCAAAAATCATGAAATTGATGCATGGTAAGAAACAATGTTCAATCAAAATGAAATTTCCTACAATAAAATATAAAAATAAAAATTACATCGAAGAATGTTCTCTTCAATGAAACTTAAACACATCAGATTGCAAATGGAAAACAAATTTGTAGACAATCAGTAAAAGTAAAAACATGATGAACATTTATGAAATGCAGAGAACTAGAAGGAACAAAATCTTGTCACAGAGGATCCGGGGGACTTCACTTAAAATTTGTACAAGTAATTCCAAGTAAACAATTCAAAATATTCTCAAATTGATATTTTTATCTATAAAGTTATACTCAAATTGATAACTATCAGTTTAATGCATCATAATTGTCCTATACAAGTATTAATATTATAAAATCACAACATCATAATCTTATTATAAAATCACTATATTATAAACCTATACTACATCCACCGCCGCTTGTCCAAGTACACAATTTGATGAGCCCCCTCCATGCAGCACTTGATAATAAGTATCATAGAAGACAACGACACTTCTTTAATCTCATATCAGTGATAATTGCTTTAACCATTATACATGGCCAGGAGAACTTATACTAGGAAGACAAATGTAAATGGAACGGATACAATCAAGCAAAGATTATTGACATGAATATCATTCTTTATGTCCTTTTCAGATATTTTAATAACAAAATCATTAAGAAAAATGCATAAACGAAGCACCTTTCTAAGTTCATCCCAAAGCTTGTAGAAACTGGCATTGTGAGGACTAATGAGATTGTGGCAAAGCTCATGTAACATTGTATCCAAAACTTGATTGAAGGGGAAGAAATCTCCATCCCTATTTGGCCTTCGAAGCCTCAACTTCACATGAATTCCACGTCCCACATTTAATCCTAAAAGTGCTGGATTTTTTGGGCTACAATTCATCAATAAACAGGATGAATGCAAATCTTTTCAATTGTTCAATGAAAATTTTCCTTTCTTGTTAAGGAAAATGCCGGAAGAAATAGACTCCACTATAGTTGACTCAACCAAAAGTACAACATCTTCAGTATTTTTTTTTTTCATTTCGTCACATCCAACAAGAACGTAAAAAATGAACAGATATAGAATCCGAAATTAAAAAACAATAACAAAAACTACAATCCTAGGGTTGTAACGAACAAGAAACAACATGGTGTAAACTTATTGTAAGTAACATTTACCAGAATTCCGAAAGGACCTTGACTCGCCATTTGCGTTTCCGCATAATAGGTTGAACTTGTTTGGCAATTCTCTCCAGAATCTCCTTAGCTTCTTTCTCCCCAGCCTTCTTCAGGGCTTTAATCTCCCAAACTTTGTTAAGGTCGCCCACATTCATGTCACGGAAGAAAAATCTTCGGAACCCCGAAGCGGCTAGGGCGAAGTGGAAGAACTTAACAAGCGATTAAACACGCGAAACTTCAGAAATCAGAAGCACCGTAATTACAGACAACAGTAATCTAAATCCGCTAATTCCAAAGAATGTTTGAATCATGAAGAAGAGATACATTTCACCTTGATCGAGAGTTGGCGGGAGTTTTTGGATTCGCTCGTACCGCAAGAAATCGTAATGAACAGCAGCCTGGTTGGGGACGCAATACGAAGCCATTGGATAAATTGAGGAAATAATACAGAAGGGATCTTTTTAAAATAGGCTTAGCTCGATGCGAACGTTAAACGAACACGACTCTCTACAATGGTATGATGATATTAGCTCTCATAGCTTTGTTTTGGGCTTCCCCAAAATGTCTTATACCAATGGAGTTAGTATTCCTCACTTATAAACCCATGATCATTCTCTAAATTAGCCGATGTGGGACTTCCATCATCCAACATCGGAGAGAGGGTGTTCATATGATCGATAACTCATTTAATTTTGATTCCTTAGTTTAAATCATAAGATGGGTTAGGGTTTTTTTTTTAATTGAATTTTTTAAAAATTGAAAATTTGATTCAATTTGCAAATTTACATCTTTCTGATCGAGTTAACCGAATCATTCTAAGAACAAAGTTACAATTCAACTCGATCATAGTTTTACAAAGATTAAGATATTTGTGATGAATTATTATGACTTATAAATGTTTGATATTTAAATTTTATGAATTTTTGTGAATAAATTAATTTTTTTTTTCCTTCTCTTCTGAAGTTTATTAATATTTTATTTCAAGAGTACCTATAAATAAAAAGTGTTTAAAAAGATATTCGCAAGCTTTTAAAAATTTCATTAATACCCTTAATCTTAATTCAAAAACACCATTAAATGTTAGTATTCATACAGGACCGTTAGTGTCACAATCACGGTTTCTAGGCAACGGATTTGGCGATTGTGCGGCACCTACTCTCAGCACGGAGTGTGTCAAGCCTACTTCGAGTTACGTTGCCTGTAGTCGAGCAACTTGAATACAAGCCTCGAGTCTTGATTTATAGAGAAGACATTGAGATTGGTGTTATATAAGAATGTAAGCAAAAGACAGACAACAACAACTGCTTACTGCATATAACTATCGGGTAGATATAAGTTGACAACTAGTCATATCTCCGTATAGTACATTTTGAGGCATTTCATGTCTACCAGTCGTAGCCATAACATCGCCGAAACGTCGTACTCTTAAAGAAAACAAGAAAGAAATAATACAACATGAAAGCGGTAAAAGAAAGCAATAGAGTAGTACAAGGCAAAGGTTTCAGTGTGTCACGGGCATGAGGATGAGCGACATGCCTTGGACAAGCATGACCGTGATAGTTAGCCTCACGTTTTAAATTTAAAAGTATTTTTGAGATAAAATATATATATATAATTTAAAGTTTTGAGAGTATTATGAAAATTTTAAATATTTGTTTGAAATGAAAAGAAAAGATTTTTTTTTGGATAAACATAAAAGTTTAGTAGGAAGGAGAGGAATGGAAGCACAATCAGTTTTGTTGTTCTAGTGGGCGAACGTTCTTTTTCTAATTTTGAGCGGTTTTTCTACTCGTAGCCGATACTTAGCCAAAAATCTCTATTCAACCCGCTCTACTTCAAATCTACATCGCATTTGATTAAATTTTCGTCTGGATTCCTAAACTGGGTTCAACAATGGCGGGTTTAGCTATTGTTTTGGATCTATTACGGAAAAATTCCGTTCTCAATACACAGCAGAGTCTCCACTCCTATGGCGCTTTCTCGGCCGCCGCCGCTGCCGCTGCCGGAACCCCTTTTGCGTACAGAGCTTTCATAGGGTATGTGCTTATGCATTGACGCTGCCTTGAGTTTGGTTTCTTTTAATTCACTTTTATCTGCTGAATTTCTCTTTGGATTGGATT